CTCCCCATAGTAAAGATACTTTTTTTACATATTTGTTGAAAATATTTTATTTCTGATTTTTTTTAACTTGGGGGCCTTCTGACACCCAGATTTCCACATTTTTACATGGCTAACCCTTGGATCTTCTCCCTCAGTAGCTCCTCAGTCTTCATCACCACTCTAGTCTTGACCTCCTTTTTATCACTGAGGTTTCTTTCCTCCTTCCCTTTCTCAGCTGTCCCCTGGGGATGGAGCCCAGGGCTGTGCACTTGCTGGGCAGTGCTGCCCCCATCCTGACAGGAGCAAGACCGCACTCTGCACTCCACAGTTTCACAATGGCTTCCTTGAGATACAGTCCACGTGCCCTGCACACCGCTCACTTCAGTGATTCTCACACATTCAGACAGCACACTCAGCCACCACCACGATCAGCCTAGGATGCTCCATCAGTCCACCGCCCACTTGACCCCAGACTCTCTAGTCCAAGGCAACCGCTGACCGTTCAGCCTCTATGGATATGGCTGTTTGGACGTTTTATATAGAAGGAGTCCTGTGTCCTTTGTGACTGGCTTCTTTCACTCAGCACATTATTTTCAAGGTTCATCCACATTGCAGCACGTATCAGTACTTTGTTTCTTTTTATTACCAGTAGTATTTTATGGTATTAGATATTCTATATTTTATGTACCCACTTGCCAATTGATGGGCACCTGGCTATCATAATGCTGCTGTAAATATCATGCCCAGGTTTCTGCGTGGACGTAGGTTTTCAACATCCAGGAGTGGGCTGCTGGGCTGCGTGGCAACCCTGCAGACTGCGCGGGAACGGCCAGGTTGTTTTCCAAGCAGGGCACATCCTCTCGCCCACCTGTGGGTGTGAGTCCTTCCTGATCCCTGGGCCGCCACTGACCTGTGCTTCCCTGGAGCTTTGCCTTCCCCGGGATGGCCTGGGAATAGAACCGCCCGGCGAGGAGCCGTGTGTTGAGCCTCACCTATGTGCATCCCATGCCCCTTCCTACGGGTATACCAGTTTCCCCAGCTGGGGACATCTGGATTGTTCCAGTTTTGCAAGATTCTAAATAAAGCTGCTGTAAACATTGGCATACAAATGTGTATGTGAACACAGGTTTCATCTCACTTGGGTAAAAATGTAGAAGAATCTCTGAGTCAGACTGTAAGTGTATGGTCAACTTTATCTTTTCCACAATGGCTATGCTCACTTGCACCCCACCAGTTTGCATGAGAGATCCAGTTCCTCAATATCCTTGTAATTTGCATTATCCACCCAACAACTTCAACTATTGTAATAGGCATGTAGTGGTATCTCACTACGGTTTTAACTTGCATTTTTCTTGTATTAGTCTACGGACAAATGATGCTGGATCTTTCTGCTGGCCAGCCAACTCGATGAATCTACTAAAGACTGATTGCACAACTCTCTGAATATACTAAAAAAAATTGAATTTTGGTTTGAGGCATTTTGGTAACACATCTTTTCAAAAACCTTTATCCATATTTTAGGGCATTGGTTGTTCTCTTAATTGTTGACTTTGAGGAGTTATTTGCATTTCTGTACACAAACATGACTTGTAAATATTCCTCCCAGTCTGTGACTTATTTTTCATTTTTATAACAGGGATTTTCAGAACACAAACTTTTAATTTTGAAGTCCAATTTATTAATTTTTTAAAAAAGAGTCATACTCTTGGTATCATATCTCAGAATTCTTTGTATAACCCAAGGGCAAGGGTTTCTCCTGTCCCCAAAGCTGTTGTGCTTCACATTTAGGCTGTGACATATCACATTTACACTCCTGCAGTCACTGACACTCCATGTTTGTCTAAGGCCCGAGGCTTGCTGTTGGGCCTGGGGAGAGCTACTTTCCATCAGACTCTACTGCCTCACGAGTTAGGTTTCTGTGATGTGATAGGGCCTACTGTGAAGCTATTTTCCTGCATCATTGGTCTGTTTGATGATGCCATGCTGGTAACACACTGTCTTCTTAATTACTATAACTTCATAAACTTAAAAATATGTACAGTATAAAGTAAACACTTATATACAGTATAAGGCTCCCGTTAGTGATGAATACATGGAATCAGCACATTAGCTATATGTCATCCATGCTCCTAATCAACCTCGACAAGTTCAGCCATACCATCAATAAATATATCTCAATTAGAACAGCAATGCTTTGTAAGGACAACCTGTGTTGGCACAGAGGCAAACATACAGCAAACATTTGGAATTTTAGCTCATGTGTCAGTAAAAGTATAGATTATTTGGCAAAACTTGTTTCAAGTTATTAAAATATATAAGACAAAATTCATGATTTTTTTTTTCTTTCTGGTCACTTAACTGTCAACGAATTAAACAATCACCATCACCACCAGGAAAATAAATTAGTACTATTTTAAATTTTGTTTCAATATTCCATACACATTTTATTAATAACAAAATTGGAATGAAGCAGAGAATAATATATTTTCTCTATATGACTCTGGCTCTCTGAAGGGCATAAATATACCTCTGTACCAAGGCCCTCAAGAAAGCACATGGCATTTAGGGACTTCCTGTGAAAATGCTATTCTAAAATGTTTATAAAATCAACCATTTTTTTCATTCTTGACCCCATTTGTGAATGTGGTAGAATGCTTTAAAGGTAAAATGTTGGATTTCAGAAGGAATAGGAAAAGGGCCAAGGACCAGATCATCAACAGGATGAAGAGAGGCTCTGAGGGATGCCACGGAACCCACGGGGACTGCTGTATTCAAAACCAGGACTCTGCCCACTCTGGTCAGCTACAGCATGCTCTGCTCACAGTAAGAATAAGTTCAGGGCCCTCGTTTTTATTAAGGCCTTTTGAGCCACTGCAACGTAAAGAGAAACCTTGTAAAACTAGTCTCTATCTTACGCAGAAGTCATTTTATTCTCCCTCCATTAAAAATGCTTAGATTTGCAGAGGGCCTCTATGGAGGTGGGGCCCTCGCATGTGAATAAGATCAAGTCCCCATGAGCAGGTTAACTAGAGAAGATCTGTAGCTAGAGAAAATCTGCTTCTCTGCTTAGAGCCTTTCCTAGGCTTCGCAGTGCTTCCAGAATGAGTACAAACACCTGCATCTGGGGAGACGGTCCCTGCCAGTCTCCCTTTCTATTTACGCCCAGCACGGACAGACCTGCGCTGCGCTGACATGCCCAGGCCTTTGAACGCGTGCACCCTTTCTGTCCCACCCTCCTCCAGGGAGTGGGTGCTCCTCCTCAGGGATTCCTAGCAAGGTCTGTGTGTGGCACCCTGGCACCCATTTCCCCGTGTATTTATTCTCTCCCTTATCTTTGTGATTCTAGTGGTTAGCACTGAATAGCAGCCCCCCAAAAAAGTTTACTGAATGAATAACGAACATCAGGATACATTCTAGAACAGTGTGAACTGAGAATCTGGAAATACCAACACAGTGAAACTGAGAATAATTCTTTAAAAAAATGCATTTACCTGAAACACTGCAAAACAGTATAATTTCTCAAAAGCCAGTTACTTTGATGGCACTCAGGGAAAGCTCTTGCCCTTGGTTTTCAGGAGTCAGTTCGTTTTTGTGGACTCATGAGTAAAGGTGACAGACAGTCTTTACTTCCACCTAAGAGAGGTAAAAGTTGGGGGACTCAGTAAACCTGGGCCTCCGATAGATCATTCAAGCCCTCACTGCTTTCATGTCCCTTGATACTGGGTGTGGAATAAAAGATGCTTAAAGCAACTCCTGAAAAATCACTCTGGTAGAGCCAGGCACGGCGGTACACACCTGTAGTCCCAGCAACTTAGGGGGCTAAGACAGGAGGATCGTAAGTTCAAGGCCAGCCTCAATGAGGTGCTAACAACTTAGTAAGACCCTGTTCAAAATAAACAATGAAAAGCATTGATGATGTGGCTCAGTGGTAAAGTGTCCTGGGTTCAACTACCCAGTATCAAAACAAAAGAAGGAAGAAAGAGGGAGGAGGAGAAGGAGGAGGGGGAGGAGAGGGAGGAGGGGGAGGAGGAGGGGGAAGAGGGGGGGGAGGGGGGGGCAAGAGGGGGAGGAGGGGGAGGACTGGGGCTGTAGGTCAGTGGTACGGAGCTTTCCTCTCATGTGTGAGGCACTGGGTTCAAGCCTCAGCACCACATAAAAATGAATAAGTAAAATAAAGGTATTGTATCCATCTACAACTAAAAATATTAAAGAAAAGAGAAGCTATGCTGTAGAAATGAGGTAACACTCTGGGACGCAGGGAGTCCACAGAACTTTCCTCAGAAGGCAGAACTTGACTAATGTGCTGTGAATCAAACAGGAGCCTAGAAATGACTTCAAGAAATAACTGAGGGGGAAAGGGCCCCAGGTAAGAGAAATCATGGTAGATTTTAAGTCAGAAAATGTGAAGTAAAATTTCTCTTTTATCTTTCCCAGCGATGGTTTGGATTAGCCATCACAGCTCTACACGTACTGGGATGATGTGTAAGAAGTCTTTGAGACTTGCAGTCAACACGGTAGCCTGGACCAATACTGGAGACCCAGACATGTTTAGAACAGAGGAGACAAAGTCAGATTGTGGAGGTGGAGAGGAATCCAAAAAGAAAACAAGCCTCACAGGACCACTAAGGAAAACTGCAGTGCGAGGACCAGACTATCTGCAGCTTCAGAAGAGAAGCAGTCCAGGCTACTGCCCCTTGCAGCGGGGGCAAGGATGTGTCTGCCTCGACCCAGGCATGTGAGAGGAGAGACTGGCCCAGGTCCAGGAGGGACAGCTGTATGCTGAGGATGTCTGAGACGACGGTCATAAGCTGATTAATGCTGGCAACTTAAATATGCATGTTAAAATCGAGTAATCACTCGAGAATACAAACTGAACGTATAACCTTCCTCTAGCTAGCGGATCAGTGACAAATAGTAGCGAAGAAAACAAAAAGGAAAGAAACAAGTAAGAAATAAGGTTGTGAATGCTTCAGTTCAAATACATTAGTAATTGCAATACAAATATATCAAACACACAAGTGTAGACTAGTAGTAATAGTCGTATATTTATTAATATACTACTCATAAAGTATTTAGCATTTTATGCCATGGAAATACTCATTGTTAGACACAGCACAGAATAGTGCTCATACTCGATCCTGGTTTAGTGTTTTCCAAAGACCTTTAAGAGGACTTGTTTGAAGTCTGTTCTGGAAGCACTTTAAGTCTGGCCCTTGGTTTTGCTTTACTATATCATGTTCACTGAGTTCTTTTTCTCCCAGCAGACTCAAGATGGCAGCCCCCAGCAGAACAAAGCACCCAGAGCTGGGCGCGGCCACGCCTCAATCCCAGAACTCAGAAGCTGAGCGAGAGGTCCTGAGTGGAAGGGCAGCTGGGCAGCTGTCTCAGATCGAAAATAAAAACCGCTGTGCTGGGGATGTGGCTCAGTGTTAGAGCGCCCTGAGCTTAATCCCCAATGTCGTCAAAAAAAAAAAAGATAATAAGTAAGATGAGCGCCCAGGTCACGGAGCTTTCTGGGCTTGTTATGTCTCACCATCTATTTAGCATTAACAGGACTGAAGTTGGAAAAGGAGGAGGAGAATGATGGCTTCGGCTTCCAATTTACTTTGTCTTTTGTTCTGTCTCTTCAGAAGTTGAACTGAATTCCACTGTACACTGCAGATGCCGTGTTAAAAATGCAAAGCAAAACTGTGCATCCAACAAAATTTGTTTCCCCATCAGACAGTATCTGGGGTCATCCTATGTAAAACACATTTTGCTGTTGCTTCGAGAAGACAGTACTGTGAGGCCGACAGGTCTGTGGCAGCTGACTAGCGCAGCGGGTGCCCAGCGGTGCTGGGACAAGGAGAGCGGGCAGGGCCGTCAGCAGGAGGTGGTCCAGCGCCCTGTGCCCTCCCCTCCGACATCAGCTTGCTGGGGCTTCTGCACAAGGCTTCCCTTGAGAAGAGCATCTTCCCATGAATGAAGGCAGCTGGGAGAGGCTGAACGACCAGGTCTAGACCCTGTGCCACAGTGAAGCAGAGGTTCAGAAAGACCAGAGAGCAAGAGCACAGGAGGGCAGGGCCGCTCAGCCTCTTTCTCCAGCATTCTCTGCTGACAATCTGCCTCGGCTCCTTCTCCTACAGAGGAATCCAGCACCATGCTGGGTGTCAGGGCTCAAGACACCTGTGGACTATGGCCTCAGCTCTTGGGCCTTCGACTTCATGGAAACTAGCCAGGAGAAAGTTTTAAGGGGTGCTAAAGCCATCAACAATTTTTTAAAAATATTTTGTTTATTTAGTTGTAGTAGGACACAATACCTTTATTTTATGTTATGTAGTGCTGAGGATTGAACCCAGGGCCTCACACATGCTAGGCAAGCGTGCTACCACTGAGCCACAACTCCAGCCACCCCCCCCACACCCCTACCTCACCCCCCTCCCATTGCCGCACCCCCGAAACAATTTTTGATGTGGCCAATAAACGAGGAAGGCATGAACAATATAACCCAAGGGAAGAAAACAGATACAGAACTCACAGTCAGAGTAGGTGAAATCTGGCCACCATTTATTTTTGACATAAATGCCCTTACGTTTACTTTATTTTATTTTATTTTATTTTTTTGACATTCTTTCTTCATTTATTCAACTTTAAACACTTGAAGAGCACACATATGGGACACTGTTAGCTTAAAAAGTAAGGCCTACCTCTTCCAGGCCAAGTTGTTTTGGGCATGATCACATAATCAGTTTGATTCTAAGTGTTGCCAGAATCAAAGCAGAACAGAAAAGTTTCCAAGACAAACAATGGGCTTTAAAGATTAAAAGACAATGTAAAATCTCAATTCCTAAAGAGCACTGAATTACCAAAAGCAGTGAACTGGATATAGAAGCAGTATGAAATAATTATATTTCTATGAGAGAAATTATATTAAGGTTCTTAAGACAAACAGTAAACAATGAGTTAAGGATCATAAAAAAAAAAAAAAATCACAGAACTTAAGATTTTAAACATCTGTCTTTCTGACGCTACTTGCTGCCCAACTCATTCCCAGAAAGGAACCAGAATCAGATTCCCAACAGCACAAGACTCTCAAGAATTAAAAAACTAAAGTCTACGACAGGTTACCTTTTCCTTTCCACTGTAATTTTTCTTTGATTTGTGCTCTGAGGATTAAAACAAAACAAGATCCTTAGTCTCAAATTCCTGAATCAATCTGACATCACCTTATTGCTAATGTGGTCAAAAGTAGATGCTTCTGTACAATAAAGACAACAGGACCTGACGTCAGCAGGACTTGAGGGCTCTGGTTCCTCTGTGTTCACTGTAAAATATACTAACGATGGGGTAGAAGGAGGCTGAAGGAGGAGGTGGGAACATCCATCCCAAGGAGACATGACAGACAGCAGGACCCTCGCTAGACTTCAAGGAACTGACTCTCTTCAGGCAGGGGCAAACCCACATAGTTAAGTTTCACACTTAAAAAATTATCACTCTGAATTCAGGAGTAAGAGGCATTTGGTTGTGATACAATTCAATCGGTAGGTACTAACTTTAAATTTAGAGAAGAAAAACACTCATTGCGTTAATATTATGGGTTGGGGTTTCTTATGTGATTCCTAAATCCATCTACTATTTTTTGTTTTGATAGAATCTATAGCTATGTTTTAAGAAGACTACCACAGACAGCCCTGGTTCAGGTGTGACCTTTAGTTTCAGAAAGTCCATCGATCATGTAGCTGGCTGTCATTGCTAAATCTGTTGCTTGCAGAGGCCTCAGAGCTCTGGGTTTGCCGCGTAGAATCCTCACCATTTAAACTCTTCCTACATACAGGACATGTGTCATGCAGTTCTAACCATGGCACAATACAGCTGCTGTGAAAGAAGTGATTGCAGGGTAGCTGCCGGACTTCCTCTTCAACTGTGTAATCTTCTTTGCAAACTGGACATTCTAAACCCATATCAACTTGTTCCGGAGTTACGCTCACTGTTGGAAGAGAGGTGATTTTTTCCTTGTCAGCTGGGGGAGGCCCTGTGTTTTCCAGCTGTCCTAAAAGCTGGGTTACAATGGTATCAAGCCCTGTCTGACCCCAGGCATAGTCCCCAGGGTTGGAGTGCAGCATCCCGCTCCAAGAAAAAGGGTGTGGGGATCCTGGAATTGCAGAATTTGCAAGGAATCCTGCAAAGATCTGTTGCATTATTCCCTCAATAGCTGGAGACCTGCCAGGACGAGTACTTCCTCGAGACCTGTATCTCCGGGTAACGGGCAGCCTTGGAGGCCTACTTGGTCCCCAGAAGTCAGTGGGAGTCTGGTGACTCCTTTCATTGGCTCTAGTATCTTGGTCCAGTGGATTGCTACTTAGAAATGGTCTAAAATCTTGGAAAAACATCGTGTGATCCAAATGGTCCCAGAGCTCTGCAAAACGAGTTGATGTGCTACTGTCTATCCGGCTGCTGCCACCACCTAAAAAACTGGAATCATCTGTCACTTCTTCAATAAAGCCTGATTCACATCTGGGACACATATATTCCGGCAGTTTGGGGCTGACCTCGCCTTTGCAAAAGTGGCAGAAAAACCGGTGCGCGGCCACAGCGGCGCCCGCGTCCGCCCCGGCCGCCGAGGCCTCCGCCATTTTCCTCCCCGCCGCGGCTGTCGGAGGGCGAGGGCAGCCGGCCGGTCCCTCGCCAGGCCGCTACCTCGCAGGCTGCGCTCGCCGCCGCCGCCGCCTCGGCGCGGCCCGCCGCTCCAGAGTCCGCGTCGGTCACGTGAGTCTGCCGGACCCGGAGGGCGGCGGCGCGGAGAGGACCCGGCGGCCCGCCTCCCTGCACCAGAGAGGCGTGGGCAGGAGAGTCCGCCGGCCGCAGCCGCCCGCCGGCAACTCAAACTACCCCCTTACGTTTACTTTAAATGTGTCCCCCTAAAATTTACATGGAAACTTAATCACTAATGGGATAGTATTAAGAGGTGGGCTGAGGAGACTGGGTCATGAGAGGAGAGCCCTCATGAATGGATCCCAAAAAATCTAGAGGAAACTAGCTAGGTCCTTTTTTGTCCTCTAGTCCTTCTGCAACACGAGGCTACAGCAACAGGGTTCCTAGCAGAATCTCAGAAGACCCTCCCCAGATGCTGAATCTGCTGCCTTGATCTTGGGCTTCCAGCCTCTAGAATGGTGAGAAATAAATTTCTATTGCTATGAATTTCTCATCTGTAAGTATTTTGTTATAGCAGCACAAATCAACTAAGATATACACCATTAAAAATATTACCTCTGGTCTGGGGATGTGGCTCAAGTGGTAGCGCGCTCACTGGCATGCGTGCGGCCCGGGTTCGATCCTCAGCACCACATACAAACAAAGATGTTGTATCTGACGAAAACTAAAAAAAAAAAAATATATATAAATAAATATTTAAAAAATTCTCTCTCTCTCTCTCAAAAAAAATAAAATAAAAAAATAAAAATATTACCTTTTCCTAGAGCTTTGGGAAGCAAATAGATAATCAATTTGCTAACATAACCTAGATTAACTTGATAAAGGTGCCAACCTTTTCTTTCATACCCGAACAGAGTTTGGTAGTGCCAAGGCCATTTTGTTGTCTCCAAGACCACCTTCGGGTTCAATGATCCACCAAAAGGTCTCATATGACTCAGTGAAAGTGCCATGTTCACACTGTGGCTTATTGCAGTAAGGAGACAGACCACATCAGCCCCAGGAGTGCAGGCTTCAGGGCACCTCACCCACACCTCCAGGTCCACTCCTCACTGGGTGGGCTCATGCCCTTATTCCCCAGCCCTCGCACTGCTAGGTGATGAAGGTGGTCCCCCGTCCCTGGAAAGACAAAGGCACTCTGACCAGAAAGCACATTCCAAGGGCTCCAAGCCCACCCCAGGAGCTGAGGCAAAGACCAGGCCTCTTTGCCTTTGCAAATGTGCAGATCATGAATGATATCACTGTCTTAGGTCTGTTCTCACAGCTAGAGCAGAAAGCCCAAGTGGGGCCATTTGCCCAGCTCCAGCTCTAGAGCTGGGAACTCTAAAGCAGGACAATGGCATCTGGGGAGGGCCTTGGCACTGCTGGCCCATAGCAGAGAGAACGCCCCGGAGCTAAGAGACATCAGTGCTCTCACTGGGCCCGACCTCCCCGCACCCTCGCTTTAGGGTCTCAACTGTCTAACCCATGAGCTTTGGGGCACATTTAAATAATAGGTGAGGACAGAATGTGCATAAGAAACACAGAGTAACAGAATTTATTATAGGAATAGGTAACATTCTCCACGCATTATTCGTTCCCTTTATGAAGTGGGTGCCCCCCACTTGGACACCTCCAGGTATGATGTCTGAAGCCTGACACTAGAACAATTACTTCCAGATCTTTTCTATAGTTAGAGCATTGGTGATTCCCCCAAATGAACTCTGCTGTGTTCACTCATTAGCCAAACTGCTGCAAAGGAAGTGGAAAGCATACTAGAAACAGGAGGCCCAGGGCTCCTTGCTGTGTCACAAGCACCCTGTGCTTCGGTCATCTCAGCAGTAGAATGGGAGGTACAGTGAACCCAGCGGTCAACAGCTGTTACCAACCTGTGGCTAAAAAAGGAAACGGCATGAGGATGGGGGGATGGGTATTCTCTTGGAGTATTACCATTTTAGAAAACTCAGTATAAGGTGGAAGAAAGAAAATAATACCAATACTAAAACACAACAAATTAGAGAAATGCAAATCAAAACTACTCTAAGATTTCATCTCACTCCAGTCAGAATGGCAGTTATCAAGAACATAGACAACAATAAAGTGTTGGCGAGGATGTGGGGAAAAGAACACTCATACACTGCTGGTAGGACTGCAAATTGGTGCAGACAACATGGAAAGCAGTATGAAGATTCCTTGGAAAACTGGGAATGGAACCACAGTTTGACCCAGCTATCCCACTCCTCAGTTTATACCCAAAGGATTTAAAAACAGCATACTACAGGGACACAGCCACATCAATGTTTATAGCAGCACAATTCTCAATAGCTAAACTGTGGAACCAACCTAGATGCCCTTCAGTAGATGAATGGATAAAGAAACTGTGGTATATATACACAATGGAATATTACTGAGCATTAAAAGAGAGAAAAAAATTATGGTATTTGCAGGTAAATGGGTGGAGTTGAAGAATATCATGCTAAGTGAAGCAAGTCAATCCCAAAAAACCACATGTCAAATATTTTCTCTATAAGTGGATGCTGATCCATAATGGGGGGGGGGGAGCATAGGAAAAATGGAGGAACTTTGATTGGGCAAAGAGAAGGAAGGGGTGGTGAGGGGGCATGGGGGCAGGAAAGATGGTGGAATGAAATAGACGTCATTACCCTAGGTACATGAAGGACTGCACATGTGGTGTGACGCTACATGGTGTACAACCAGAGAAATGAAAAGTTGTGCTGCAATTGTGTACAATGAATCAAAATGCATTCTGCTATCACATATACCTAACTGAAATAAATAAATTAATGTAAAACAACAACAAAAACAAAGAAAGGTACTTTGCACTGAGAAGGGTTTTTTCACATTTTTATGGGTGCATTATAGCTGTTAATAACGTGGGATATAATACAACACAACAATGTAACTTAGCCAATATTCACTCCCCAGCACCCCCCTTCTCTCCACCTTGCACACCTTGGGCCCTTTCTTCTACTGATCTCCCTTTTTCATGAGACCCACCCTCACCTTTCTTTTCCTTTTTCATCTTTAGCTTCCACATATGAGAGAAAACATACGACCCTTGACTTGTGAATTTGGCTTATTTTCACTTAACATTATGTTCTCCATCTATTTTCCTGCAAACGACATAATTTCATTCTTCGTTACAGCCTAATAAAACTCCATTGTGGTATACACCACGTTTTCTTTATCCATTCATCTCTGGATGGACACCTAGGCTGGTTCCAGAGTTTGACAATTGCTGCTGTCAACACGGTGTGCACAGAGTGGTATGATGGTGTTGACTCTCTGGGGTCAGTACCAGGAGAGGGGAAGCTGGGCCAGGGGGTGGTTCCATGCCCCGTGTTTGAGGAACCTCCTGCTGATTTCCATAGTGGTGGTTGTAATTTACAGTCCCACCAACAGTGTAAAAGGGTTTTTTTTCCTCCACATTCTCTCCGTATTTATTATTTGTATTCTTGATGGCTGCCATTCTGACTGGGATGAGATGAAATCTCAGTGTAGTTTTTAATTTGCATTTCCCTAATGGCTAATGATGTTGAACATTTTTTTTTTCATATATTTGGCCATTTGTTTTTCTTCTTTTGAGAAGTGTCTGTATAATTCATTTGCCAAATTTATTGGAGTTTTTTTGTGTGTAAAGTTTTTTGAGGTCTTTATACATTCTAGCTATTAATCTTCTGTCAGAAGTGAAGTTAGTAAAGATTTTCTCCCATTCTGTAGGTTCTCTCTTCACAATCTTGTTTCCTTTGCTGTGCAGAAGCTTTTTAATTTGATGTCATATCATTTAACAACTCTGGGCCTTATTTCCTGAGCTTTAGGTGTCCTAAAGAGAAGGTCGTTGCCTGGGCGTATATGCTGGAGTGTTGCCCTGTTTTCTTCTAGGAGTTGCATGGTTTCTGGCTTAAATCCGCGGTCTTTGATTCATTTTGAGTTGATTTTTGTGCAGGCAAGAGATAAAGAATCTAGTTTCATTCTTCTACATATGAATAACAGTGTTCCCCGCACCATTTGTTAAAGAGGTTGTTCTTTCTCCAGTGCATGTTTTTGGCACCTTTATCAAGGATCAGATGACTGTAGATGTGTGGGTTTGTCTTTGTTTCTTCTATTCTGAACCACTGGACTGGTCTATGTGTACTTTTTTGTTGTTGTTGTTGTTGTTAGCAGGAATTGAACTCAGGGGCACTCGACTACTGAGCCACATCCCCAGCCCTATTTTGTGTTTTATTTAGAGACAGGGTCTCACTGAGTTGCTTAGTGCCTTGCCATTGCTGAGGCTGGCTCTGAACTGGTGATCCTCCTGTCTCTGTGCCAGTATCAATCAGTTCTTGTTAGGATAGCTCTGTGGTATAATTTGAAGTCAGGTATTGTGATGCCCCCAGCAATGCTTTTTTGGCTTAGAATTGATTTGACTATTCTGGGTCTTTAATTTTTCCCAATAAATTTTAAGGCTGTTTTTTTCTAATTTTGTGAAGAATGTTATTGGTATTTTGATGGGGATTACATCAAATCTGTATATTGCTTTTGGTAGTATGGCCATTTTAACGACATTACTTCTGGCTATCCGTGAACATGGGAGATCTCATCTTCTGAGATCTTCTTCAATTTTTTTTCTTTAGTGTTGTATAGTTTAATTGTAGGTCTTTCACCTTCTTAGTTAGATTTATTCCTAGGTATGTGTATGTGTATATATATATATATATATATATACATATATATTTTTTTTTTTTTGAGGCTATTGTGAATGGAACTGTTTTCCTGATTTTTTCTCAGCAGATTCATTGTTGGTATATAAGCAAGCTATTGGTTTTACAGGAAAGTATGTTTATTTTGTAACCTGCTACTTTGCCAAATTTGTATATTAGCTCTAACAGAATTTTGGAGGAGTTTTGGGATCTTGAGGAAGTTCTTAAATTTGTGCTAATAATGTATTAAAGGATGCTTAAACAGTGGAATCTAAAAAAACTGAGTTATTTACCATAAAGCATATATATTTTTTTTAGTTGTTGATGGTTCCTTATTTTATTTGCTTATTTATATGTGATGCTGGGAATCAAACGTAGTGCCTCATGTGTACAAGACAAGCGCTCTACCACTGAGCTACAACTCTAGCACCTACCATATAGTTTTTTTTAATATTTATTTTTTAGTTGTAGTTGGACACAATACCTTTATTTTATTTATTTATTTTTATGTGGTGCTGAGGATCGAACTCAGGGCCTCACGCGTGCTAGGTGAGCGCTGTACCGCTGAGCCACAACCCCAGCCCCTACCATAAAGTTTTAAAGAAAATAAATAAAAGCTAAAATGCCTCAGTATACCTACGAAAAATATATTAACAAGTTAAAATACTTAGAAAAAAAGATATAACTTAAATACAATGAAATGGTGGGGAAAGAAATGTGAGAATGGCCTTTACCAGTAGTTAACTTATAGATCCTATAAGCCGTTTCCTCATCTGTAAAATTAGGACATTAAAGGAGGAAACGAGTCTGGTGTGGTGGCATTCTTCTGTAATTCCAACAACAAATCCTGTCACAACTAAAAATACACAAATTGCCCAAGTTTCTATGGTGAGGCCATGGGAATTCAAAGCTCT